CTCGTGGAAGCTTGGAAGGTGGTGACCGAGCGATGTATTAGCCCCTTAGTCTTTATATAAATGTCAGGGCAGTACATTGGGTTTATATAATCATATCACCCCATGCAACTTTCCACTGGCTATGAGTTGACATGGTCACATCACGTGATGGGTAGGTTCCTTGAGGCACGGCCTTAAGACTGTTAAGGTCAGCGTTTAAAAGCTGGTTGCCTGCAGCATTGTTACTTGACACCTCACACCAACCGGACGTATTTAGTCGAGCTATTTAACATAGCCTCCGTCCTCCTCTTAACACTCATAGCTACAGTGGATTAAGTTACGGTGATATACACTTGGAACTGTATCTGAGATAGTTCCTAAATAAATAGATAACAGACAATTGGGTTTTGCTACTAAAACCCTATATAATATACATGTTCGAGCCTCATTAACCCAGATGGAATCAACGGTTAAAGGACCTAGAACATAAAACGTATGTGTTCGCTCGAAGATTATTCTCTTTTTTTTTGTACTGAAAATTCTTGCTCTTCAAGTGACCCACTCCTAAATGTCACCACATATAACTTTTATCATCTTTATTAATTTTATATTTTCAGTCTTTGGCTGTTATGTTATTTCAATAAACCGTTGATTGTTGTTATTATTATTATTATTATTATTATTATTATTATTATTATATGTGCATGCCTAATTCTGATAGTTCATCTTTTGTAGCTTGATTTAAAGATTTGGGTTAGAATCAGGAGAGCAGGTCAGGTTGTACTATCTGGTAGCCCCGTTTCAGTAACCTGGGATTCCGACACTCTTACCAGGAAGTGTGATCCGTACCAATACTTGGAATCAGACAGCCGGGATCTAATAACTGACTAGGCTCATCCGGATGTAGTAAGCCCTTTCATGTAACCTTAATCACGAATCCTAAATCTCATGGCTAAGTATGGAAGCCTATTAAAGTAGTTTGACACTATTAGCCTGCCTAGGAGATGTATAAAGTACTTAGTCTAAGAGATGTAAACAGAGAAACAGATCCCAGAAGAACAACGATGTTATAGAGAAATTCGACTGTGAGAAAGATTTAGGAGTATTTATAAGTATGAATCTTAAACCAAGTAAACAATGTGTATTTGTTCGAAACAAGGCTAAAAAAGTACTTGGGTCCATACAAAGGAGTGTTAGTTACAAGACTAGCGAGGTCATCCTAAAGCTATATCTTGTACTTGTGAGACCTCACTTGGATTACACAGTTCAATTCTGGTCACCATACTACAGAATGGATATAGAATCCATAGAAAGAATTCAGAGGAGAATGACAAGACTAATCCCGGGCATTATGAACCTTGAGTACAGAGACAGGTTAAAGCCTCTTAATTTGATATGATTCAGGTGTATAAATGGAAGTCAGGGCTAAACAAAGGTGACATTACAAAGGTACTCAAACTACCCAACCAGGGTAAACACTAGAGTTACAGACTGCTTACGGGACTGTAATTAAATTTTGAGTATGAGAACTTTTCGGGACTGTAAGGAGTTTGTAAGTTAAGGTACTGTATCTCTGATACTGTACGTAACTGATGAGGTGTTTTGAGTAGGCGGCCCCTGATCCCTGACTTTTCTATTCCTACAATGACATGGTCTGAACTTTGGTTAAGTACCATCTCTGTCTCCATTACCACACTCCCAGGTCTGTTGGCTGATTGACAGCACCTTTGAAAATCTTATGATGGTTTGCCACAATAAGAACATCTTCAAATAAGGAGTCTGCAATAGGCCGGTTGGCCTGTGCATGGCAGCTCCTGTCTAGAGTTACAACCACTCTTTATCATCCACGAATCTATCTAGCCTCCTTTTAGAAGTTTCCAGCACTTACTACAAAGCTGCTAAGCTTATTCCACTCGTCTACCACCCTATTTGTAAACCTGTTCCTTCCTATCTCCCTCCTAAACCTAAACTTATCCAACTTAAATCCGTTGCTACGAGTCCTATCCTGCTCGGATATTATAAGAACTTTATCTATATCTCCTTTATTGATTCCTTTCACCCACCTAAATACTTCTATCGTATCTCCCCGCTCTCTTCGTCTCTCTAGGGAATGCAAGTCTAGTTTCTTTAATCTATCTTGATATGGAAGGTTTCTAAGTCCCGGAATCACTTTCGTCATTCTTCGCCGCACCGACTCCAATGAATTGATATCCATTCTATAATAAGGGCACCAGAACTGAACAGCATTTCCCCGTATACTAGTGAATATATTATAGTCATGATCAATTGTTGTGTCGCCGGTGACCTCACCCGTTCCTACCGGGGACTGAACCTGACTGTTCCCAGGTGGCCTCACCTAGGTACCTTCTTAACCCCTCATAATCCCCCAATCGAAAGTCTGGGACTCTGACCATATTGTCATTGTTTTTCGATTCCCAATTTAGGGTGAACCTGATTTCTCTGTGATCACTGTTCCCTAGTTCTCCCTACTGTGATATCTCTGATAATATTTTCTTTATTTGTTAATACTAGGTCTAATATATTGTCACCTCTAGTAGGTTCTGTAATTAGTTGTTTTAAAAGAATTGTCCTGTACTGCGTCTAGGAAGTCTTCGGATTCAGTCACCTACAATGTTGTCCCGGTCAATATTTCTGAAGTTGAAATCCCCCATAATGCACAGGTTAGTGTATTTTGCTGTCCTATTCATTTCCTGCCATATGAGCTGAGCTTCTTTCTCAAGACTTGGGGGCCTGTAAATCACTCCCATAATTAGTTTTTCTCTTCCTTCTGCAATTTCTACGCATACAGACTCAGTTCCTATTTCACCCTTTATTGAATTATTAATACAACATTTTAATGTATCCCTGACAAAAAAGTGCGAATCCTCCCCCCTTCCTACCTTCCCTGTCCTTGTGAAAAAGGTTGTACCCTTCTATGTGGTACTCTGATAAAAAGTTCTTGCTCGCCAGATTCATCCAAGTTTCGGTAATTCCAATAACGTCTACATTCTCGGTACATACAACCGCTCTCAGCAAGTCTATTTTATTTCGAACGCTCCTACTGTTTGTATAGTTTACATTTAAACTTACCCTTCCCTGGTCCTGTTTTACCCCTTGTCCTAAGTAACCAATTTTACTCCCCAGGACCAGCTTGTTTTTGACTCCCACTTACCCCCCCCACCCCGTCCTCCTTTCCAGTGACAATTTTACGCTCCAGGGATGCAGACAACGTCTTTACCCCCGCGCGAGACAAGTGTACTCCGTCACGACTGTACAGGTAGTCGTTGCCATAGAATGGTTGCTAGATATCAATGAATGCCCAACCATTGCTTGCACAATGTTTCTCCAGTCGGCAATTTATAGCAATTGCCCTGGACAGCCATTCACCACCAACTCCTCTTCTAGGCAAGACACCACATACTATCAGGATCCCTCCCCTATCTCTAACCTTCCCGAGCGCCTCCCTATACCTCTTGAAAAGTTCCTCACTCCTAACCTTTACCTGTGTTGTTACCTCCTACACAAAGTCACACTACTGGCTTGGTACCCTCCCCTGACAAATCCCTATCTATCCTCTCAGCTACATGCTCTATCCCAGCCCCAGGAAAACACACCCTAGTCCTACGTTTCCTATCTCTTGCACAAAAAGGCGGCCCGGCCGTTTGGTGGTTCCGGCTGGAGCTCTTGGCGCAGCCAGACAGGATTGGGGATTTGGGGATATGAAAGGACACTGCAGGTTTGCAAGTGTGAGCGGACCATAGCTCTTACCACCAACCCCCACTCGTGGACTTGGTCAGTTTCGGAGTGACACGTCCCCGAACCGGGGTCCGCTCGTCTGGTGACCGAAGTGCTGTGAGATTGGCGTTTCTATCGCATTGTACAATTGCGTGACACAACCGCGCAATGATACATAAATAAGAACAATATTCATTATTCTTTTTCTTTATAATACTGTTTCTTAATAGAAATACATATTTACTTTTTTATTTAACTATTGTTAGTGATATCGAGTAAATTAAACGATATTAACGTGATCAATAGAGAAAGAGGAATACCTTACTACTTCCCGAAAAGTAATCCGTCTTGCGGGTGCCAACTAGTGTTTTTACAGCTAATTTTTGTACACCGCGTAATCATTTCCCTAATCTAACGAGCCAATTAAATCATTAATTAATTAGCAAATTATTTACATATACCACATTGGATTGTTATTTCAAGTCCGATAACATTCAAGATCACTACTACTGCGGTGCTTTAAGGACCTGGAGGATAAAGGTGGAAATTAATTCCCACAATAATAAAGGAAGAAAACTAAGAGAAAAACAACATTGGTTTAGGCAATTCGAGAAACCTTCTAACAGAGAAAAGGATCCCTTGAAAATAATGTAAATGAACACTAAATATTAAGAAAACATACCTTGATATGTAAAAAAAAAAGAGTAAACAAACCTAACCTAAACTTACATAATTTATTTTCTTTTTGTATCTGGGTTGTGTGACCTGTGGTGGGGTAGCAGTGGTGGGAGTCAGTGGCCGTCAGTTCACATGTGGTTAAAGGAAGGGCACTTCAGCGTTTTTTAAGTGTTAAATATTTTAGACGAAATACTTGATATTGAACTTCAGAAGCATAATGAAACTTAATTATGACTAAATTCAAAACAGGTAGTTGTATGTTTAATGAGTAGAGCACCGTCCTGCACCTCACGGAACATCTGAAGAGGGAATAGGGGAGCAAGGTGGGTGTGTGTGTGGGGGGGGGGGGCTGTATAAAATAATATAAAAATATATTCTTATCAAAGCAGATGGTTACTGCGGTGTCGAAACTTCACCTTCTTAACTCAAAGACCACGAACAAATGAAGTAATCACTCACCACTGTTACCCGCTCTGCTCACCACCTGGAGGGGGTGGGGTAGGGGGGTGTACAATATTCAAGTAGAGTTGTAGGAATGGTGTACACCTTGAGATAATAGTTTGTCATTCTAAACAAACATGTAAAATGCGGTAATAAAAATGCTGAGCAACTGGTGAAAAAAATAATTTAATATATGATAGTTATTACCAGTGTATAGGTATAATTAGTATATATTGTTAAGTTACTGATACTATTCTAGTGTGGCATTAAGAGATCTCAGTTTGTCCAGGAAAGTGAATATGGAGGGAGTAATAGCCTCAGCAGCATCCAGGCTGGCAATGTGATCCCTGTTAACCTTGAAGCCCCGAAAGTTTGCACTGGCCCGTAAAACTGGACGAACTGAACGTAAAAGCCCTACTATATTCCCCTGGCCACGATTTAGATTGTTGGAGGTCTGATTCCCTCCCAGGCCAGAGAAGTGAGATATCTTGGGTATGATGTCGAGGACGGTGGAGATTATTCCCTCGGATTTTTTAAGTATTCTTGCCTGGGGCTGTAACACATCGCTGGTCTCGAAGATCTTGCCAGCTTCTTTACTCTGAGGCAACGGTGTTGCCAGGCAGGCGAACAACGCCACGCACATTGCAGTCTGGTGAAGAATTATGAAACTGTTAACATATTGTCTTACAAATAACATGTATAGAAAACCAATTATGTATTCTGATGCCTAGAAACAAACTACGAGCAAAGAAACCTGACAGTGTGTACAGTATCTCAAAAAATATTGGCATGTCCCAATATCTGTCACCCGTGGTCTCATAATGTTTCACACAGAGTGAGGACCGAAGTGACGCAACACCGATAAGAAAATATAAAATAAATGTCTCTCCTCAGGGGGAATATTAAGAGTTATCAAGACAAATCTGTTGACTGTGGGTAACTTTGTATTACTATAAGGTTTTATCATTTGTAACCATCGAAAAGTTTTGAAGTGAACAAGTATAGACACGATTCTACATTGATTAGTCCGGACCAGAAGCAAATAAGATACTGCACTGTAATAGAATTGCACTGGACACGCTCAAAAGTTTTCATAATGATAAAAATCCCGTCTCACAGTGCTGTATCATTATTACAGTGACACAATGGTTTTCCGTCGCTACAATTTGAAACGTCTAGACGAAATGCTTTGATATGATCCCCAGTGTATCAACATAAGTTGGTACGCCTACTCGCCATATCAACAACAGTTAAGAGATGGGGGTAGGATTGGGGGAGGGAGTCGTCCATGTATGGCGTACTAAATACTTCAATATAACAAGAAATACCATTAAGCTATATTAGTGCATGTATCGTTCGAAAAAGTATATACTCGTTCATGCTCAAAGGTCTCGGATGTGGAACTACCAACCGTCCAGAAACAGGTTGAGTAACATTGCTCGGAAAGTCTTGAATCACATCGACCCCCATGGCTAACGATACTTTTGGGGGACTGTACAGTACGTCAGGTTCAGACAATAATAGTAATAGCCTTATTAGCTATCACAAGACAAGTTATCACAAGATAAAGCCTAACACTTGCCTAGAGGTAAGGAGGGAATCACAAATACTCAGCCAGGCACTCACTTGGATTCAATGTGGTACTCACCTGAAGACAGCGAAACAGACCTGGTCATAGAGTGGCATTCTCCTGGATACTGCGAAGCGGGCACTAGGTTACAGCGTGACACTCATTTGAACACAGAAACACTCACCTGTGAATACATATTATTATGGGAGACAAACATTAAGTGCCGGGCTCCTCAGCATGACACCCTTTTATATTGCCAACAACCACGTGCTCGCACTGATAATAAATGTAAAAAGGTTTCCTTCAGAGCGCAAGAGGTCACTCGTTTTAAAAGTTGTTTTATTCTGTTGTTTCACTCCTGTATGGATAACGTTGCCCTATAGAATTTGAGATACTATGAAAAGGAAATCCTTTAACACCCCTACAAAAAATATCATGGACTGTCTTCAAATTCACGTTAAATCATCATAAATGAACCTGAAATTAAGAAAATATAAATGCTTCACTCTCTCTTTGACAGGTACTTGAACGGGCAATGTTCGGTGGATTTGGAATCCTGTGTACCGCCGGCAAGGTGGTAGTACTCGTTTTGCCCTCGGTGCCCACGGTTTCTCGGTAGCTGTCCGTCACACTAGAATAACTCGGTAGGGTATATCCTTCTTTCCTCACACTGCCAAACTGTGGAATGTTCTGCCTTCTTCTGTGTTTCCATACTCATATAACCTGTCTCACTTCTAAAGGCTAGTTTTCCGGCATCTTCGTGGTATAAATTCATAAAAAAAATTTCTTTTATATTTTTAATTTCTTATTACTCTAATTTTTTTCGCCCCCTAGGCCCCGTTGTGGGTCGATGACCTGTGCTCGGGTGGGCTAATCCCCGTAAAAAAAATAATATAATTTTTCACACATACAAACACACACACACTCACACGGTAGTCACTGCTGATGAAACAGTCAATGTCGAGAGAACAAAGGAATTTGGCTGAAGGATAGTTAACTTGATGAATGGAAGTGATGACAGTGAGTTTGCATTAAAAAAGAAAGATCAAATAGTTACACTTAGTGTTCAAACTTTCTTGAAAATTTATGTGGTACAGGTCGACCCCCAAGTGATATTTTCAGCGCCTGATTTCTACTACAAGGGACTTGGCATCAGCAGATGATGTAGCATCATTTTCCATCTATAAATTGTGTGCTCATCGTATAGCATTATTTGAAACGGATTGGTTGATGAGAGGGACAAACAATCCAGCTGTAGCTGATGCCATATGGCTGCTCTCCGACTCTTAATCTACCAAAGATATCCCAGAAGAAGTCCAGTATGTCCTTGATGAAGGGTCACTTCATACTGTAGTGCTAAGGCTTCCCTGGCCGCGAGGTCGAAACGACCCTGTAATGCAATCTGTTAGATGTATGTCGGTTAAGTCATCCAGAAATATGGGAAAGGAGCAGTTTAGTTATGGCTACAGTGATCAGCCATCAACCAGGGGAACAAATCATCTCCGACACACAAAGGCCTAATAGGAAAAAAGTGTGAATTTTGTTTCTGACACGACGATGAACATGAATACACGACACTTCTTGGGTGACGCAACTAACAAGCAACTTTTTATTGATATGCTGGTGTTCTTATAATGGTGTCAACAGTGGAAAGGTCAACAGTATTTGTTCGTGGCGACACAGAGTAATTGTTCTCTTGTGTCATCATGTTGATGTACAATTGTACTATCGTGCACAAAAGTCGTGTCCACTACCCAGCCACAGTGAGGTTTCAAATAGCCTTGAGTCTGAAGTTTCGAAACAGCTGGGGGAAATGCTGTGGTCAGCCAATAGATGTCGCCCACTGAAGTGTGTGTTGGGGGGTGGGGGGGGGGGGGGTGAGAGGCAGGTTTATTTATTATTTATACCACCATAATTTCAAGCTGCCTTTTTAACTACGTTTTGTCTTACAGTTGTTTCTTTATGGATACTAATTCATGGAACAGGTGCAGTGCCCTGGGTGCTTATTGCCGCTCAGGTCACAATGATACTTTAAAGAATGGAATATACATTAAGGATAAAAGTGAAATATGCAAGGATCAGGGTGAAGGGCCTTGGTCAGCTAGTTTTACTCAGCGACCACGTCACAATTTTGTTGTTATTCCGACAAAGAGATTATGGTAATTTTATATTCCTCCCATCGTTTGCTTAATAAATATTTGTGATAATATGCAATATTATATACTTATGTAAAAAAGAGTGGAGTGAAAAAGTTATCAGTATTGTAAAATAGTATTTAGACTTAATCTAGTTCCAATTCTTCCAAGTTCCAGTGTTTAAACACCCCACCACAATATGCAAGCTTCATAAATTTTGGAGTGTGCTCAGTTACCGTTAATATTGTGTGCTGAACATCATGAGCATTTCAATGATGGTAGCAATTGTAACTATATAATTATATTGTGTTATAAGACAACACATTCCATGACGTGTCATACAGATCATTGTATACCACACAATACATAATTTGTGGCTGTTAAGTTACTTTGTTATGAATTTTCATGAGATATGGTTTAAGACATCATTAAGGACATGGATTTAAGATAACACTGTAGGTGAGTTAATATATATTAATTGTATTTACAAACAATACTAAAATCCAAACAATACACCAATACACACATCTTAGTATTTGATCCAGCCACCCATTGCATTCAGGACTTCGTCAAGGCGATTAGGGATGGAGTCGACCAGCTTCAGGCACACCCCTGGTCGTCGAAGTATACTCTCCCACACGTCGTAAGCTTTGGCCTCTATTGCTGCACAGGTTCGCTGCTCCTTAATATCCCAATCACGTTTCATCATGGCCCACATATGTTCAATCGGATTAATATCACATCCTAGTGTTGGCCAGTCGATGACCTCAATTTTAGGGTGATCCTGGAGGTAGTCCTTCACTATGTTGCTGGTATGAATGGGACTGTTGTCATGAACCAGCCTGATAATGTGGGGGGCTGGAACTGCCATAGCCCGGACTGTAGGAATTAGCACTTGCTCCAGGATGTCTACATACTGCTCACCCGTGAAACGGCCATTGATCTTGACCAGTTCACCTGGCCCATGTGCCCACATCCACCCCCAGAATGACGCTGACACCCTACCACTCACTGCGCGATGTTGAATGTGTTTCTCATGGTAGCGTGTGTTGGGGGGCCGCCAGCACTGCCTTGCTTCGGCTCCCACTGACCTGAACACCGTTTCATCGGTAAATATAATGGTTCTCTAGTATTCTTCTCTATGTGGAAGGTGTTCCAATGCAAAGCCGAGTCGACACTCCTTGTGAGTAGGTGTTAGCCACCCTTTGTAAGCTGGAATATGGCAGTCGATCCCGGCTTCATGAAGTCGGCGTCTCGTCGTCATGTGATGGCAGTTGAGGCCCAGATTTCTTGTATGCTCCACTGATGTTCGCATTGGATATGCCGTTGCAGCTGCCACTATCATGGCGTCCATCCTTGCCGACGTTACTCGTGGCCTCCCGCTTCGAGGTTTCGTCTCCACTGAGCCCTCTTCCTCCCACCGACGAATCCACCTCCTAATCGTCTTGGTGCTCCTTCCCACTTCGACAGCATTGTTCGGCACAGTTGCCCCGGCTCTCCACATCCCGATGATTTGGCCTCGCTCAGCAATCACTGCCGACGAATTTGCTCGTCCTGCAGGCATATCTGAAATGGCAGAGTAATATTATGTTGTGGTAACTGATGCAGGCTTTTATATACTAGAGTAAATTAATGGTATTAGTAACACCTAGGTTAAGTATTATTACTCTGACATAACGTTTTGGTAAATCTTTTTGGATCAACTGCCCAAGAAACCCTTCCTATTTCATGTATTCATAGTGAACTGCAAGTGGATCCTCCCCCCCCCCCAAACCTCCACCACCACCCTGCGACTGTAGAGTGAACATTCGCCGATAAATCATCATCATCATCAAGATTTAGTTTAACCAGACCACTGACACCCATTTGAGTCTCTCCTAGGGCTGGCCAGAGGGATTAGTTAACATATATTTGTGTTTCTATAATTTAGTGTTATATTGTTTGGAGGAGATTACAGTATTTCAAAAAGGTCAAAACTGAACTTAGCGAAAATTTTGGGGTCTCTGCTAAAATATCTTACATTGTAGGGTTAGTGAAGCACATTGTTCGATACCGATTATAAATAGGGCATTCAATGAGAATATGTTGGACTGTTATTTGTGTTCGGCAGTTGGAGCATATAGGTGGGGCTCCATTAGGGGAAGACATGAGTTGGCCATGCGTCAATCGCGTATGCCCAATTCTTAGACGATTCAGAATAGTTTCGTGATGTCGAGAGGATTGTTTTGATGATGACCAAGGATAAACTGATAATTTGATCATTTTTAGCTTATGACTTGTTGGTTCATTTTCCCAGGACTTTTGCCAATCGTCAAATATTAATTGTTTATAGGTAGTTAGCCTCGCCGATAATCAAAATATATGGTTTTCCACTGCTTTACATATTTCTTTGACAATTTTCAGCTATGACATGTTCGTCCCAGATTACATATAACTGTAATAGGTTACATTACGTTAGGGTTCGTTATATAAAAACGTTTTTCTTCATGTTCATTGAGTCGTTCTGAATTCCATTTCTGCTCAAAATACTACATTACCCAACCCAAACTCCCAGGTTGCAACTGGGGGTGTAACATAACCGAGTAAGGTAACGTGCGGCAAATGCATAGCACATCAAACACCATATTTTTATGGTGAAGTTAACTAAGGAGCTCATATAACAACTGTCATATAATTATAATAGGGTGTCCCACTAATTACAGCAGATATTTGTAGAGGTGAAAGAATATGTGATTCTGAGTATAAAACTTCTATACATATATGGATTTTTCGGTTTACGTTTAGCCGTGAGGTGGATTTTACAAATTACGCAAGACAACCATTACAAATGGCGGAGTCGAGGCGGGAGATACCGACAGCGATAGCGAAATATAGGAAAGGGGGAAGAAGGTTTAGTAGTGAAAGAATGTGGGTTAAACGGAACAGACTTTTAGGAGGAGAGAAAGTGTGTGGCCTTCTGCCCACTGCATGGTATTGGGTGGTAGGTTGGGGTGACTGGGGCGATGGGAGGGAGGAAAGGATGTGGAGAAAAGAAGGCGAAAGGAAATGGAGGGCCCATCCCTATTTGGGTGGGGTGCACCTCATCTT